AGGAGAGGGGAACACAGGAAACAGGAGAGGAGGAGGGGAGGAGGGGGGGGGGGAGGAGGAGGACGGGTCGACCACACTGCTCTATTCAAAACGAGTACCCAACCATAGGAGGGTTGCGAATAAAGATACTACAACAAAATAAGAATCATTATCAACATCAGCATCATCATCAGCAGCAGCATCCTCACCATCATCAGCATCAGAATCGCTCTCATCATAAGCATCAGCATCATCATCATCATCATCATCATCATCATCATCATCACCAACATCATCACAATCAGAATCGTAACCCTGACACGCCTAGTCAACATCCCTCATCTTCATCGTGATCACCACCATCCTCGTCAACATCCTCGTCATCATCACCACCACCACCATCATCATCATCATCATCATCATCATCATCAGAAGCATCCCCATTATTATCAGCGCCAGCAGCAGCATCATCATCATCGTCACCATCATCATCTTCATCGCAAGTGTCATCATTATCATCAATCGTCATCATCATCATCATTATCATCATCACCGTCACCATCATAATCCTCATCCTGATCATCAGCAGCAGTATTATTATCGCTACAAGCCTCATCACCATCATCAGCATCAGCATCATCATCACCATCATCATCATAATCAGATTCATCATCATCATCATCAGCATCATCATCACCATCATCGTCGTCACCATCATCATCGCCATCAGCAACACTCGCATTAACTGGCACCCCTTTATCAGCATCGGCATCACCATCGCCATCACCATCACCATCATCACCATCATCACCATCATCATCATCCTCATCATCCTCATCATCCTCATCATTATCATCATCATCATCATCATCATCATCATCATCACCATCACCATCATCATGGCCGCAGCATTATTATCAATATCTCTATCAGTTTCACCCTCATCATCAACAGCATCAACAACAGCATCATCGCCCTCAGCCGCACCAGCCTCGGCTTCATCATGAGCATCATCATCGGTATCAGCATCCGCACCGTAAACATCCTCATCATCATCAGCGGCATGACAATCATGTTCATCATCATCATCATCATCAGCATCATCCTCATCATCATCATCATCATCATCATCATCATCAGCGCCGTCATCATCATTATCATCGTCGACGTCCCCTGCACACACACACTCCCATCCCCCATTCCTCCCCCTCCAGATCCGATTCTTCCTCCCGATCATCCTCACTGATTCCCGTCCCCTGCCAATCCTCCTCCTCATCCTCCTTTCAACCGCCGCATTCATGCGACTGGTCATCATCATCATCATCATCATCATCATCAGCAGCAGCATCATCATCATCATCATCATCATCATCATCATCATCGCCATCGCCATCGTCATCATCATCATCATCATCATCATCATCAGCATCATCATCATCACTATCATCAGCATCATCATCATCGCCATCATCATCAGCAGCGTCATCGGCATGAGCATCACCATTAGCATCAGCATCAGCATCATCAACCGCACCATCACCAATATCATCAGCATCATCACCATCATCATCACCGACCATCATCATCAGCAGCATCATCACCATCAGCAGCAGCATCATCAGCATCATCACCACCACCATCATGATCATCATCATCACCATCACTTGTATTATCAACGTGAGCATCATCATCATCATCATCATCATCATCATCATCATCATCATTATCATCATAATCATCATCATCATCATCATCATCATCAGCATCATCATCATCGTCATCGTCATCATCATCATCGTCGCCAGCTTCGTCATCTTCATCGATAGCATAAGCGTCACCGTCATCAAAAAGATCAGCAGCCGCATCATCGGCAGCACTATCATCGACAGCATCATCATCATCATCAGCAGCAGCATCATCATCCTCACCAGTATCATTATCATCATCATCGTCATCATCATCAGCATCAGCATCAGAATCGTGATCACCATTGCCATCAACAGCATCATCATCATCAGCATCATCATCAGCGCCGTCATCGACATCGTCACTATCATGATCGTACACATAATGCGTGTCCAAATCATCCGTCTCCACTCTCACCACCAACACAAGCATCACAACCAGGTTCATCTTCATCATTGTCACAATCATCAGCAGAATCACCATACGCAGTATCGTAATCATCATCAGCATCATCATCAGCATCATCATCAGCATCATCATCATCGTTATCATCATCATCATCATCATCATCATCATCATCATCATCATCATCATCATCATCATCGCCATCATCATCGACACTATCGACGCCATCATCATCAGCACCAGCATCAGCATAATCAGCATCATCACCATCACCAACCATCCTCATCAGCATTATTATCATCACCATCCTCAGCATCAAGCATCTCCATCAACATCGTCATCACCATCACCATCATCATCATCATCATCATCATCATCATCATCATCGTCGTCGTCGTCGTCGTCAGCATCGTCATTAGCATTATCATATTATTCAGCAGCAGCATCATCATCACCATAATCACCATCACCATCACCATCACCATCATCAGCATCATCATCATCCGGATAAGCATCATCATTATAATCCTCATTATGATCATCATCAGCATCAGCATCATCGGCATCATCATCCGCACATAAGCATCACCCGCATCAGCATCATCAACACCATTGGCACCATAGTCCTAAGCACAGGATCATCATCATAGTCATAACTATCATCATCATCAACAAAAACATCACCATCATCATCAACATCATCATCCGGATAATCGTCATCATCATCACAATCATCATCAGCATCCGGATAAGCATCATCGTCATATAATCCTCATCAGCATCCGAATCAGCGTCATCATCAGCAGCATCATCATGATCATCAGCAGCATCATCATCCATCAGCATCAATACTCCCTCTCCCCTCACTTCCATCTCTAACTCCTGCTCCTCCTCATGCTCGGAAGTGCCCTGAAGCGCGCCACTTGTCTCCGTGATCACCGCTGGAGCTTGCAAGGTGGCGGCCAGTGCGCGAACACGACACGATGCTCGCTTAGAAGTTGCAGATAGCGCCTCTTGGCACGCGTATGGAACGCGTATGGAACCCTCCTGCTCTTGTTCCCCCCTCTCCTCCTCCTCCTCCTCCTCCTCCTCCTCCTCCTCCTCCTCCTCCTCCTCCTCCTCCTCCTCCTCCTCCTCCTCATCATCATCATCATCATCATCATCATCATCATCATCATCGCCATCATCATCGACACTATCGACGCCATCATCATCAGCACCAGCATCAGCATAATCAGCATCATCGTCGTCGTCGTCGTCAGCATCGTCATTAGCATTATCATATTATTCAGCAGCAGCATCATCATCACCATAATCACCATCACCATCACCATCACCATCATCAGCATCATCATCATCCGGATAAGCATCATCATTATAATCCTCATTATGATCATCATCAGCATCAGCATCATCGGCATCATCATCCGCACATAAGCATCACCCGCATCAGCATCATCAACACCATTGGCACCATAGTCCTAAGCACAGGATCATCATCATAGTCATAACTATCATCATCATCAACAAAAACATCACCATCATCATCAACATCATCATCCGGATAATCGTCATCATCATCACAATCATCATCAGCATCCGGATAAGCATCATCGTCATATAATCCTCATCAGCATCCGAATCAGCGTCATCATCAGCAGCATCATCATGATCATCAGCAGCATCATCATCCATCAGCATCAATACTCCCTCTCCCCTCACTTCCATCTCTAACTCCTGCTCCTCCTCATGCTCGGAAGTGCCCTGAAGCGCGCCACTTGTCTCCGTGATCACCGCTGGAGCTTGCAAGGTGGCGGCCAGTGCGCGAACACGACACGATGCTCGCTTAGAAGTTGCAGATAGCGCCTCTTGGCACGCGTATGGAACGCGTATGGAACCCTCCTGCTCTTGTTCCCCCCTCTCCTCCTCCTCCTCCTCCTCCTCCTCCTCCTCCTCCTCCTCCTCCTCCTCCTCCTCCTCCTCCTCCTCCTCCTCATCATCATCATCAGCAGCATCATCACCATCATCATCACCATCACCATCACCATCACCATCACCATCATCATCATCATCATCATCATCATCTCATCATCATCATCAGCATCATCATCATCATCATCATCATCAGCATCATCATCATCATCAATCATCATCATCTCATCATATCATCATCATCATCATCATCATCATCATCATCATCATCATCATCATCATCATCAGCATCATCGTCATCAGCATCATCATCGTCATCACCATCGTCATCATCATCATCATCATCATCATCATCATCATCATCATCATCATCATCATCATTATCATCATCCAGATAAGCATCATCATAATCATCATCAGCATCCGAATAAGCCTCATCATCATCATCATCAGCATCATCAACATCATCATCAGCAGCAGCATCATTAGCATCATTACCACCAACACCCCAACACCACGACCACCACCACCACCACCATCATCACCACCATCACCATCATCATCATCATCAGCAGCATCAGCATCATCATCATCATCATCATCATCATCATCATCATCATCATCATCATCATCATCATCATCATCATTGTCGTCATCATCATCATCAGCATCATCATCACCACCACCACCACCACCAGCATCATCATCCATCATCATCATCGTGACCAGCATCACCACCACCACCACCACCACCACCACCATCATCATCATCATCATCATCATCATCCTCATCCTCATCCTCATCCTCATCCTCATCCTCATCCTCATCCTCATCCTCCTCATCCTCATCCTCATCCTCCTCCTCCTCCTGATCATCATCACCACCACCACCATCATGATCATCCGGCTCCCTCCTCCTCCTTCTCCTCCTCCCTCTCTCCTCCTACCCCCCCGTGCCGCGCCGCGCTGCCTGCCCGCCCGCGCCCCCCCCCACTCTCTCCGGCGCGGTGAGGGTCTTGCTGCTGCACTTGGCGCCCACGGTGCAGGGCCCGTGGGCGTAGGTCACCTCGCGCGGGGGAGGAGGAGGGGGAGGAGGAGGAGGGGGAGGAGGAGGAGGAGGAGGAGGAGGGGGAGGAGGGGGAGGAGGGGGAGGAGGGGAAGGAGGAGGAAGAGGAGGGTGAGGAGGAGGAGAGGAGGAGGAGGAGGGGAGGGAGGAGGAGGAGGAGGAGGAGGGAGGAGGGAGGAGGAGGAGGAGCGGCGGGAGGCCCCCAGGAGGATGGCGCGCCATCTCAGGACTGGCTAGCTGCCTGGCTGTCCCCTGGCGAAACGACCACGCCGGTCCACTTTCGGCTGCTTTCGGCCTCCGGGGGCCCTTTCGGCCTCCGGGAGCCCTCGCGGGGCCCCCGGACCGCCAAACAAACGGCTCGAGAAAGGGCGTGGATTTTCGGGGGGCCGCGTGCTGCAAAAAGCAGCACGTCGGACGTCTGGGTGGCGGGGGGGACCGGCCTGGGGCCCCTGCTCCCCGAGGCCGGAGGGGGGAGGGGGAGGCGTGGCAGGAGGGCGGCGAGGAGGAAGAGCGGGAGGGCGAGGAGGGGGGAGAGGGAGGGCAAGGAGGAGGACCGCGCGTCCTCTCCTCCTCCTCCTCCTCCTCCTCCTCCTCCTCCTCCTCCTCCTCCTCCTCCTCCTCCTCCTCCTCCTCCTCCTCCTCCTCCTCCTCCTCGCTTGGGGGGAGGATGGGGGGACGGCGAGAGGAAGAGGGGGAGGTACGGGGGGCAGATTCGAAGTTCGGGGATCCTGCATCGAGATCTTGGACCGTTCTGAGCCCTTCTTGGGAGGATCGGCCCCTGCTGGACGGGCAAGGAGGCTACCACGGCTTGCCACCAGGCACCTTCTCGCGGCGCAGCAGTTCGAAACTGAAACATGGGCTAGACACGGGGGCTGGCCCAGCAAGAAGACAAGAACAGAACGCCAGCAAGCACGGCCTCCTGGCTTTTCTCAGCAAGCTCGTACTCCAGTACTCCTGCAGCCTCTGGGACAAGTCGGACCAGAAACAGACTGTACCCCTGGATCGCCTGGCGGAGACCCCACGGTTAGCCATCGTAGAGGGTCTGAATTACATGAGATTGTCTCGTTCCTCAGGACGGATGCCGTGCATGCAAGCTACAAGTACTCGCCCTAGACAGCACAATGTGCTCTGCCACACTAGACTCTACCTACACATAGCCACTGCATCTTGACGCCAAGAAAATTGATGTCGATCGCAGTGGATCCTCTTACGTGCGTGTGAGAGAGACTCTCGATAATCCCGCATCTCAACATTATGAGCCCCATGTGAGCAAGAGTCTCGTGGTCCTCTTATTGGTATAATGCGTCTGGGCGCACACATAAGCAAATATATAGTTGTATGTGTAAATGTGTGTAAGCATCCATTCCCTAACCATGAGCACTTGCACTGAAGGGGTCCAAGCGGATATCGAAGGACTTGGGAAAAATACTGGGCCGATGTCGGCAGGTGGCCGGATTCCAAAGTTCCCGGCCCTGGGCTCTGGCGGAGAAGCCAAGCCGACGTCGGTGGGTCACCAGAGTTCTGGGTTCCCGGCTCGCTGCTCCTCGATCTCAGCAGCCTTCCCGTTCTTTCACCCGTCAGGGTTGAAGAGTCGCAATCTGGGCGAAGACGGGTCTGCGGACTTATTGAACGGCTTCCAGCGCACCAGCAGCCTCTGCCAAGACCCCATCAATCTCCGCCATGCGCCCTCCATTTGGTGCTTCACACCCAGGCGTCCGCTTGGGGACCGCCTTAGGCATGGCACCCAAGGGCTCCAAAATACAACGTAGTCCAAGTCGATGGCCAACGGGTAGGGCAAGAACTTGTCGATCGGCCTCTCCACTGCCCACCGTCCGGCCAACACCTCCAGTCATGTCCGCGATGCCAAGACTCCCAGTGGCCACACGTCCTGCACATGCTGTAGCCAGTGGAGCGAATGCGTTCAGCAGCCTTCTCCATTGACGAAGCACGACGCGTAGGGCGGGCACCCCTCCCACCGCTGACCTTTCACACACACACACACACGCACCCCCAAAAAAAAAACTGACTGAGCCCAAAGACGACGCTCAAAAACAGGTCACGCTGATGCCGCGGGGCACCACGTAAAGGTGCCATCGCGGCCAAGGAAATGTAAATGTTGGAGGCATCAGGGTACAATGACCCCAGAAAGACTTCAAATTGCCGCAGTCCAGCGGCATCCTCTCGATGCATGCCTGGAAGCTCTGCAGCCTCACAAAGCATGGACCCCAGAGCCCAAATGGCTACGGAAAGAGAGGAGGAGGAGGAGGAGGAGGAGGAGGAGGAGGAGGAGGAGGAGGGCGATGCAGGCAGGGGAAGAAGAGGAGAGGCTCCTTTCTTCCCCTCCCCTCCCCTCCCTCTTGCTCCTCCATTTCGGCGCCGAAGTGCCGGGCCCTGGCACCCTCGAAAAACGACGACCCGCGACGAGAAGCAGCTTGCGCCGAACAGCAATGACGCCAGAGGTCCGGGCAGCGTCACCTAGCTCAATCGTATGGCGTTATGAAGCCAATTGCCCCACTGCGAGGTCTCACCCTTCGGGTCACCGGGGCCTCGTCGAATCCTCGCCCATGAGACCATGAGACAGCAAACGCACGAGTGACACAATGCTGATTGTGGTACGACCTGGCGATAGCACATCATTAGAGCATGCAAGCCCATCCGCCGCATCACTCCTCGCCCGCCCCTCGCTCATCTTCATCATGATCCTCCTGCTCATCATCCTCGATCCTCTTTGCTCCCCCTCGTGCCCTCCTCGCTCCTCGCTGGTAGCTCCTCGCTCCTCCATCTTGCCCCCTCCTCCTCCTCCTCCTCCTCCTCCTCCTCCTCATCATCATCATCATCATCATCATCATCATCATCATCATCATCATCATCATCATCATCATCATCATCATCATCATCATCATCAGCATCAACATCAACATCATCAGCAGCAGCAGCATCATGGCATAATCAGCATCATCAGCATCCTCAGCATAAGGATAAGCTGCATCATCACCATCATCATCATCATCGTCACCTTCATCATCAGCGTCATCATCGTCATCGTTATCAACACCATCATCATCATCATCATCAGCAGCATCAGCATCATCATCACAATCATCATCATCATGAGAATAAGAATAATTAATAACAAAAAAGTTAATAGTATTAGGAATGAAAAAAGCAGCTACCTCCTCGTCCGCATCAACTTCATCATTAGCATTACCCGCAGCATATTCATCCTCATCACCACCACCAGTATCAGCAGCATCATCAGCATGATCAGCAGCATCATCGTCACCGTCACCATTATCAGTTTCAGCATCAACATCAACATCATCATCACCACCACCACCATCATCTTCATCGTTATCGCCATCGTCATGATCGCAGGCAGCATCCTCAGCATCAGCATCAACCTCAGCACCCGCATCCAATTCCTCATCATCACTACCACCACCATCATCATCCGCAGCAATATCATGAATCAGCGTTATCGTCATCATCCTCATCAGCATCCTCCTCATCATCATATCATCGTCATCATCAGCAACATCATCATCATCATCATCATCATCATCATCATCATCATCATCATCATCATCATCATCATCATTATCATATTCAGTATCATCGGACTCACCATGGTGATCATCATCATCAACAACAACCCCACCATCACCAGCATCTTCATCAGAACCATCATCATCATCACCATCATCCACATTATCATCATCGTCGTCATCAGCAGCAGCAGCACCATCCTCATCCTCGTCCTCATCCTCATCCTCATATTCATCCTCATCCTCACCCTCACCCTCACCCTCATCGTCATCCTCATCGTTCGTTGCCCGTGGCCCCTCGCTCCTCGCTCCTCCCCCGTCCTCCTCGTGGCCTCCGCGGTGAAGTTCGCGGGGTCCACGGGGGGCGCATCAAGCTTCATCTGCGGCATCGGGGCCGCGGGGAGGGGCCGCCGCGGGGCAGCGGGGTGGCAGGGGCGCGGCCCAGGGAAAGCCACGTCATAGGGCCGTGGGACCCCGCAAGAAGCACCCCAAGCCGAGCCCCCCAAGCTGACATGCCGAAAAGATGCACGGGGTCCGAGCAAGAGGGGTCGGAAGATCGCGACGACTCGCAAACTCATCGCCGACGCATTGGAGACGTCGCCCATGCATCGGCGCCGTCGGCGCGCAGAAAGTCGGGCTCAAATCCGAGCCGCATCGCCGAGGCAGCGGCGATGCGGCGAGATCTTCCGACCCCAGCTGCTCCGCCGCCACTTGGGAGGCCTGGAAGCAGGAGGAGTCAGGCAGGGCAGGGATGCTCAATAGACGCCCAAGACATCCCGGGCGAACGTCAATTTATGGGGGTCGGAATGTTCTTTCCCTCTCTCGGCTTCCAATTGGCGTTGAACACATGGCGTGCGTGCAACACCGATCCCCAGAAAGCACGTTGTCCCAGCGAGGCGATCCTTCGGTGCATACTATGCCCCTGCTGGGGTTCCTTCGGTGTAACAAGCGGGCCAGCGGAGTCACATGGCATGCTGCATTTCCAACACCAATCGTAAGCCCCGCTTCAGGGCCTTAGTTCGACAGTTACTTCGGTTGTTGATGCCGTTGTCAATGTTTGTATTTTTGGTTCTCGGCCAACAAAATCGGGGGGCAACAAAACACAACAAAACGACGGTACATAACGGATCTGAACCGAAAAGAATGCGAACAAGAATTCGAAGACAGGGGGTGGACAAGAAAACCACCACCCCCCGCAAAAAAAAAAAAAACAACAAAATGCCCCAGAACGATTATTTCTGTAGAAGACCGGAAAACTGAAAGTGGCGCACCCGGTGTGTTTCTACATCGTCTGAGGGCCTGGCACGACGGGACAAGTTGGGAGCCGACGCCGCCCCTCGCGGGCGCAGGCCTCGGGGAAGCGCCTTGTCGGGGCGCCGACGGGGGGCTGGAACCCCACCGCGGCGCAGGAATTAGAGGCGCAGGCGGGAGCACCGAGCGCGAGCACGGGGGGGGCACTGAGCGCGGAGAAGGACGACGACGACGACGACGACGACGACGACGACGACGACGACGACGACGACGACGACGACGGCGACGGCGACGGCGACGGCGACGGCGACGGCGACGGCGACGGCGGCGGCGGCGGCGGCGGCGGCGGCG